AGCGTTAGTATTTGTTTGTGTGTGAAAAATGCAAAAAACGCAAATTTTGTCCAGTGTTTGTGACTAAGTGGCTACTAAAAAAGACTGGACATACCCCGTTTACAATACCTTGGGTTGTCTACTATTGCAAATGGTATGCCATCATAGGGGTAATTTTCATTCTTGGGCTACCATAGGGTCTCAAAGGCAACGTAACCAATCTGGCAAATTTTAATGAAACATAAGCCTTATATTTGACGCTGTAACTTTTGAAAACACCATAAAACCTGTACATGAGGGGTACTGTTGTACTCGGGAGACTTCGCTGAACACAAATATTTGTGTTTCAAAACAGTAAAAAGTATCGCAGCAATAATATCGTCCGTGTAAGTGCTGTTTGTGCGTGAAAAATGCAAAAAACATCACTTTTACTGGCGATATCATCGTTGTAATACATTTTACTGTTTTGAAACACTAATATTTGTGTTCAGCGAAGTCTCCCGAGTAGAACAGTACCCCCCATGTACAGGTTTTATGGTGTCTTGGAAAGTTATAGGGTTAAATATAGTGCTAGCAAATTAAATTCCCTTTACTTTCGGCATGGGTTGTCAGGCAGGTCCCGCTAATTGTAAATAATTAAGATACCTAATTATGTAAAAATATTACATAAATATATATGTAGAATTCATATATGTATATATATATATACACGTATGTGTATATATATTTATATATATATATAGAATTTTTAAAAATATTTTTATTTATATATAGGTATATATATAGTGATATATACATATATATTTATGTATATAGATATATATATATTATTTCGTTCTACGTGTATTTTGATATAAATATATATATATATATATATATATATATATTAATATCACAATACAGTTAGAATGAAATAACACACATCTAAATATTTTTTAATTATTTTTAATTATTTTTTAAATTTTATTGTTTAACGTATTTACATATTTTTTTATATTATATATAAATATATATAACAATATTTATATATATATTTAATCAGTATCAGTCTACATGAAATTTTATATTAATATATATATATATATATATATTAATAGTAAAATACACCTAGACAGTATATGTGTGTGTATGTATATGTGTATATATATATATATACTTAGATCATATATATATATATTGCATATATATATGATCTAAGTATATAATTTTTTTTTTTTTACACTTTTAAACTTTAATTAATTGTATTTAATTTTATTTCCAGCCAGCAGGGGGACCACCTGTCATTACAGGCAGCCCCCCTGCTGGCAATGCTGCAGCCAGCTACCCCGGCCATGTGATTGTGAGGTCCTTGCAAGGACCTCACTCTCACATGGCCGGGGGGGCTGCTGGAGTGAAGATGTGCCGCGGGGGGGCTCCCTGGGAGTCCCCCCAACCGCGATTGCCGGCGTGGGACCGCCGGCGACCGGGTAAGTAAAGAAAGACCGGAGGGCGTACTATTACGCCCGGCGGCGTTTAGAGCCGCCTAAAATAGGGCGTAATAGTACCCCCTCCGGTCTTAAGGGGTTAATGTTGGAGAGAATAAAAAAAAGTTGTTGTTTTTTGTTTGTTTTTACTGAAGAGAACAAACAAGACAAACTCATATAAGGAAGACATACAGTCAGGTCCATAAATATTGGGACATCGACACAATTCTAATCTTTTTTGCTCTATACACCACCACGATGGATTTGTAATGAAATGAACAAGATGTGCTTTAACTGCAGACTTGCAGCTTTAGTTTGAGGGTATTTACATCCAAATCAGGTGAACGGTGTAGGATTTACAACAGTCTGTATATGTGCCTCCCACTTTTCAAGGGACCAAAAGTAATGGGACAATTGGCTGCTCAGCTGTTCCATGGCCAGGCGTGTGTTATTCCCTCATTATCCCATTTACAAGGAGCAGATAAAAGGTCCAGAGTTCATTTCAAGTGTGCTATTTGCATTTGGAATCTGTTGCGGTCAACTCTCAATATGAGATCCAAAGAACTGTCACTATCAGTGAAGCAAGCCATCATTAGGCTGATAAAACAAAACAAACCTATCAGAGAGATAGCAAAAACATTAGGTGTGGCCAAATCAACTGTTTGGAACATCCTTAAAAAGAAAGAACGCACCGGTGAACTCAGCAACACCAAAAGACCCGTCAGACCACGGAAAATAACTGTGGTGGATGACCGAAGAATTCTTTCCCTGGTGAAGAAAACACCCTTCACAACAGTTGGCCAGATCAAGAACACTCTCCAGGAGGTAGGTGTATGTCTGTCAAAGTCAACAATCAAGAGAAGACTTCACCAGAGTGAATACAGAGGGTTCACCACAAGATGTAAACCATTGGTGAGCCTCAAAAAGTTCCTTGTACTGTATAGCTTATTTTTTTTACTTCTATCTTTTACTAAGTATATTATTTGCAACAGGTATCATTTATCCCTCATGTTGTTTGGGATATAGACACCAGTTTCATACATATTTTTTGGTCATCCAGCAGAGAATTTGGTCTCTTATCTTTCCCCTTTTTGTATTTTTGTATTTATTTATTTATTTATTTATTTATATATATATATATATATATATATATATATACATTTTTCTTTTTTTATTTATCACCCCCCCTATATAGCACTGCTTTGCATGTTTGCACACTCTTAAAGGACATTTAAAGGTATAGTAGCATTCTCTTTGTATTTTTGCATATTTAAAGGGATATCCCGTTTATTTGAGATCTCCACTCATAGCACCTTTATTCACATTTTTGCACACTTATAGGGATACTTTGTCCATTCCAGATTTAAAGGCATAGTACCATATATATATTTTTATATTTTTATTCTCTATGTAGTAGTATTTTAGCCATTAGTCACCTAGCCAGCTCCTGGTATTCCCACTCTTCTAGAGAGTTCTTTTCCCTTGTTCCATATAGGTTTTTAGTGAATCCCTATCATTACCAGTTTTCAAGCAGCTTAGTGCTAGTCTATCTCCCTCTCTCCTGTGTGGTACATTAGGTACACCAGAACCGTTCTACTGACTGTATATATGATACATCTATAGAATACTAGCCTCTGTAAGGTACTGGCTTTAAAGGACTTAGTTTGCTTCCCATGCTGGACTCAGGCTGCAATTTTCCAGGGGTGATTTCAGCTTGCAGCTCACACCAGACCGCTAGACTCCCAAACTGTCAAAACACCGGGGCTCCAAGACCGCCTAACTGCCAGCACGCCTTAGACACCGGAACACCAGCGCCTCTGACCTGTCATAATGCTGAAACACATGCAGAGGTTAGTCATCACTGGATCCATCTCAGTCCTCTACAACTGCCTGCCCAGGCCAACCAAGCCTGCCCTCCTCCTCCTGTGCATTCTACGTCATCTGTAGCCTCGCTCTCTACAAATTAAAAAAATAATGATTTCTTTAAAGGAACACTATAGGTCAGGAACACAAACATGCACTCCTGACCTTTATAGTGTTAAAACCATCATTATAGTGTTACAACCACCATTAACCCCCTAAATATAGCACAATCTTACATTTGTTGCAGTCTGCAGATGCTGGCTCTGCCCCTGATCTGCCTCCTTGGCTGCCATCATCAGAAGTGTTGAGCTGAGGCATATCACAGTGCTTTCGCATAGGATAGGTTGAGCTTGTCAAGGAGGCAGATCAGGGGCCGAGCCAGCACAAGCCAAACACAGCCCTGACCAATCAGCATCTCCTAATAGCAGGGCTGGCACTCCATATAGGCAAATTAGGCCACCTAGGGCACTGTTTAAGGCTTTGATAGTTTGTGCTGTGGCCATTCCTCCATCAAGTTAGATTATTGTGAGCATGCTGCTGGCCATGTTACTGGGCGCTTGGAAGCACTTACATTGTTGCTGACTAGCACCCAGTAGAACACTGGTCCGGCAGGATACACAACAGCTGGGACCCCCTCCCAGACATCCATTGCGGTGGCTCTTAAATTCCTTGCTCTCACCCCTTCCCCTGTAAGTGGGGAGAAATGAGGGGGAAG